ATAGATATATATATTAACCAGATTGGAATCACCACTTTGATTAAATGCAGCTTGCTTATTGAGCATTAGTTTTTTAGCCATCATTCTATGATAAAGTGTAGAACTAAGATTAACTTTTCTGGCATTCAAAGTGGAATTGTCCGGGACAGACGCCGACGAGGGCTCTATCCATAATTCAGAATCCGAATCTCTATTATCACCAGGAGAAATAAGATCACCACTCGTATTATGATAACCATAAGATTCGCGTAATGGACAACCCGTGTTACGATAAAGTGTCGCACTATCCCATCTTCCTATAAATTGAGAATATAATGTGTGAAATATCTTATGTAATAATACAATATAACTTTTGTGTTACAGAATAAGATAGTAAGAGATCATACCAGTTCCAGCACTAGTACTAGGCATCCATGGAGCGGAATAAGTTGGTTTCGTACTTTGTTCTATTGTGGATTGATTATTTGCAGATTGCTGAAAATTCGTATGATTAACATTCTGTGTACTTTGTTTTGAAGTTTGCGGCATAGCCAGCAATCCTTGTCTAGATACAACTTTTCCACTGCTCATATAGATATATATATTAACCAGATTGGAATCACCACTTTGATTAAATGCAGCTTGCTTATTGAGCATTAGTTTTTTAGCCATCATTCTATGATAAAGTGTAGAACTAAGATTAACTTTTCTGGCATTCAAAGTGGAATTGTCCGGGACAGACGCCGACGAGGGCTCTATCCATAATTCAGAATCCGAATCTCTATTATCACCAGGAGAAATAAGATCACCACTCGTATTATGATAACCATAAGATTCGCGTAATGGACAACCCGTGTTACGATAAAGTGTCGCACTATCCCATCTTCCTATAAATTGAGAATATAATGTGTGAAATATCTTATGTAATAATACAATATATAACTTTTGTATTACAGAGAGAATAAGATAGTAAGAGATCATACCAGTTCCAGCACTAGTACTAGGCATCCATGGAGCGGAATAAGTTGGTTTCGTACTTTGTTCTATTGTGGATTGATTATTTGCAGATTGCTGAAAATTCGTATGATTAACATTCTGTGTACTTTGTTTTGAAGTTTGCGGCATAGCCAGCAATCCTTGTCTAGATACAACTTTTCCACTGCTCAGATCATTTAATACCGGATCTGATTCTATATTATCTAATGCTATGTTCTGTATGTCTTCATTTATAGAGGCCAAATCGCTATCTCCAGTATCCTGTAAAGAAGGAAGAAACTAGTTACTAAGTTAATCTCTTACTATAGCGAATGACTTGCCTGTTCGCAAGAAGGCCCAGGATCAAAGTCCATTTCCAGAAAATCCATTTCTGGACTCGATCTACCACTATGGTTCTGTCCCTCTGCTTCATGATTCTCTGCATGACCCTGATGTAATTCTTCCCGTTGATTTAAATGGATTACATCATCATTCCCCTTATAGGTATAAATACAATAGTCTTCTCCATCAGACATATCCCCTTCGTTTCCAGAACTAGAATCCATTCGTTCCACTTGTTCTCTCTGTGAAGCCTAAAAATATGAGAAATCTGAATTTTAAGCATACAATACAAACATTTGGCTATATAATCCACGATACAAAAACCTACTCTCTGTATTCCACTGGGTCCAGCAATTTCTCTGTTGCCATTGATATTAGGTCTTAAAAAACAACAAGTCCCTTGACTTGTTGAACCTATACTACCACCTATATTATTCAATACACGTTTAGATCCATAGGACTTTGATGTCCAGGAAGAATCAGCCTCTGGACTAGAATCTGAACTGCAAGAAACTTTAGAAGGACATTTCTCTATGGCAGATGCATAATCCACATTGTTTTTCATGTCTATGTCATCATTTGGTTTACTCATTGATAAATTAGGAGGCATTAATGGTGCATTTAACATAGATACACTTGAATGTAACATAGCACTGGTGGTTGCAGTAGAATTAAGAACGCTCGATGCTAAGTTATGATTGAGATGTGTATTCGCTTGAGTGGAAGATAGATTCAAGTGCATTTGAGACTTAGGCAGATTTAATGTGCTTGTATTTGTGACAGTCTTGAGCTTCAATTGACAATTGATAGCATTGGTGTTTGCAGTCTGAGGCTTGATGTTGGCGGTGCTCGTAAACATGGAAGATATGTTCACGTTTGACATGTCTTGAGAAACATTCTGCTCCAAGGAATTGGCACAATCAGATATAGGAGCTTGTACGGTTTTTGTTCCGTTGGAAAACATGACGGAGGTCTTAACAGACGGTAACACAAGCTTGATATCATTGCTGTTATTGTTCAACCTCAACTCTTCCACAGCAGCTCCATTCTCTAGCTGCACTTTGGACGTCATAGCGCTCTGGTCCATGGATTGATTATCATTCTTTAAACTGACTCCATCCATTTTAACCTCCGCTTTACCCTGATTATTTCCATCATTCTCCTCTGAATTCATATTATTTTCGACGATGAGACCAGCGGCAATTGCATTACATAGCATCCTACAAACGAAGACACACAACCATGAGGATATTCTCAGATATTTTTCTCACAACGAAGAAAATCTCTCATTTTTCTTATCGATTGTCTTGTCATAAAATCACGCTTACCATGTGGCGCGATACAAAATTACCCGCTAAAAATCGAGTAACGATGACGGTAGACCTCGGCGGTGTTTTTTTCGAAATTGCGAAGCTTTGGGAAAAAAAATATGCCTCAGCTGCGTGGTTAGGCGAAGATTTACATCACTTTCTTCCGGCCATAACTAGGCTAAACAGAGGGAAAAAGCGTATCAGTTACGCGAGCCTCGCAAAAGGAAGATGTATTTCTCTTTCCCGAAAAAAAAAAAACACTTTTCCGTCAAGCGAAACTACCGAAACACCTTGCTAACATTCTAACGTCTTATATTAGTACCGGAAGTCAGCTGATTGTCGGAAACGAGCGTACACGCGAAATTTCACTATCGCTCCTTTTTTTTTTCTTTTTTCCCTTTTTATCTCTTTATTCGTCTATTACTTTTCATTTCCGTGTTCCATTTTATTTATTGATGTAACTTTTTTGAAAAGCGATTACTTGTAATGCGAGTAAATTCTGTCGTGACTTATCTCGAAGTAGAAACATGTCGACGTTTATTCCATCATAGTGTTTGTCATATATTTTTTTTCGATACATTCGATATTAATTAAAAAGGAGTTTATACAAACGAGACATCGAGCAAAAGAATAAAGTCAAATGTATATGTATATATAGGATAAACGTGGTAGCGAATCTAATTGGTTACACCATGTTGTTCCTCCTATTAGACGTTCATACGTATATGTTTCCATTTTGTATCAGCGTTTATAAATCATTTTATGCATAATATAATACGAAAAATAGTAAAAAGAAAGAAAATTGTGTTTGATCGCGATGAGACAGATGACTTTAACACATTCCTCTCCGTGTCAAATGTATTGAAGATGATTAATGTACATACTCAACGTTATCGCGTCTCTTGATTTCATGTATTTATATATACGAATAAACTCTCGGGAATTGAGATACATATGTAGCGAGTTTTTGACGAGTGGAATACCCGGCACCTGGTGAAACGGATCCTTGTGCAGGATGAACGTCGTTCGAATCAATTCGAGGAACGTGATATTCCTTTTTATAGCGCTTCTATCAACCTCCGCCGAGGAAACGCACATAGGTCATGGTGAGCAAACTTGTCAATTATTTGTATCGAGCATTGACATAATATATAAAATAATAACCAGGTGAAATTTTGATAAAATTCATACAGTATGAATGCAAAAGTTGTTATCAGAGATATGTCAAATATATTAATATAGGAGTGCTAAATATATATATATAATATGTGTAATAATATTTGATATGATAATTGTTGCAGAGACCCTAAGTACCTTTACTGTAAGAGAAGCTAATGTAAATACTACACCAGCTTACAGTAGTAAGAAGGTAAGGCTTTTTAACTCATAATTTTGTATAGCGTTGTAAATATAAATCAGATTATTAAATTACAGGAGGAAATAACTGGTTTGTGCGGTCCAAGTGGGATACATTGTACTGAATTAAGTGGAGAATGTCTGAATTGTAATTTAAGTTATAGTTGTATATATGGCACTATCTATGATGCATGGTGTTTTGTCATGGAACATGTTGATTGTGTAGTATGTAAAATTTGTTTTTAGAGAAGTTCAGAACTATGTAACATATTGAGAAAGATATATAATTGATTTATATATTTAATTAAAGTTATAAATGCTTTATTTCTTGACAGGGAGAAAAGTCTTTTCGCAAGAAATATATGTGTCGTTATTGTTATCAAACTGATCACTGGGAACATCAGTGCCATCAGAAAAATTCTTGTAGCTCAGTAGCATCTCCGCAGCAATATTATAGGTTTGTACTAATCATCAGTTCTATTATATTGATTATAATAATGCTAACAAATAATATTTTTGTTGCAGAACAAATTGTACAGTAAATGATGACATATTGTGTCTAGGCAGACGAAAGTTTATGAAAAATTTGCCTTGCAACTGGACAGTTGGATATCGATGGTCTACGGCTCTGATATTGAGCATTACTCTCGGAGGATTTGGTGCTGACAGGTACATTGATTTTGTAAAAAAGTATTATCTCTAAAATATAGATAATCAATTACAATTTACTTTAAAATATTTCTTAAATGTTGCAGGTTTTATTTGGGACACTGGCAAGAAGGCATTGGCAAACTTTTCAGTTTTGGTGGACTGGGTGTGTGGACCTTAATTGATGTAATATTAATTTCTATGAGATATTTAGGTCCTGCTGATGGTTCTTTGTACATTTAGATTAAAGATAAAATTAATCAACAAAAAAAGTTTAATTTTAATTTATTATAATTTATATTGCAATTTTTGTGTAAGATAGTTTTTTATAAAGTACACAGAAATATGTTATATCTGTTGATTTGAATTGAATTAAGTAATAGAAATTAATTTGATATATGTGATGTTTATAAAATATAAAATCTGTTTTTATAAAAATAAAATTTATATTTGTTTTGCCATACCATAATTCTTTTTCAAACAGAATTAATATTGTTTTCACAATATCTGTTCTAAGAAAAAGTGAGTGAAAAAGTAAATATAAAACTCTTAGGTTTTGTAGAAATAATACATATAAAGAATATATATATGTATGATCTGTTCTATATAAATTCAAAGTGTAATGAAAATCTTTTAATAAACACATGCCTGTAACAAATTTAAAGATTTTATTTATGTATAAAAAAAGATAAATAATTCTAGACATGTTCTGATCAGCTCTTTTTTATTTTGTATATTTTATATATTTTGTTGCAACAGTAAGAGGAGGAGAATTCTACATTTAAACAATTATATAAAGAAAAGGAATAAGATTAAAATATCTTTTGAACAGAGAAGATTAATTCTATACAATAAAATATATAAATACTTGTAAAAATCACACATATAATAAAGTAGCTTTATAATAACTACCAATAGAGAAAATTTTAATAACAATAAATTAATTGTCATACATATATATTGCCAGGAGTTGTGTAATTTGTATTGGCATTTTATAACATGTAAAAAAATATTCTTCTTTTTTTTCGCTTTTTTTTAATAGATAAATATTCGATTAGTGATGCATACATGGGAATAGAACGTTTGGAAAACACATGTTAGCGATTATATATATAATAGGCTAGTGGACGACAGCGTCGAAAATTGTATTAATGTTACATAGAAGCGTTCCATAAAATTGCTAATTATTTATTACGAGGCAAACAGAGTTTGCTCTTTACAGAGAGAACAAAATGAACAAATTAATGCATAGCAAACTTTAATACATATTGTGAATCTCTAACATAACCTATACTGTTTGTGAAATATATCGAGACCAAATTTATACATTTAAAAACTATAATTGGACCAATAAATATATAATATAATATAATGAGATTTTCATAAGTGTCTCTGGTATTTAATCAATCTTGTTGAAGCTTTACTCGATTAAAATGCCTACAGTCATAGCCTTAGACGTCTCCTTGTCGATGAGAAGACCCGTATTAACAAACGGGACGAACGATAATTTACAAAATGAGCCATTGACACGACACTCTTTAGCGGTGCATGGCATAAACGCTCTGTTACATTACTTGCAAGTTAATTCGAAGCTGGAATTTGTATCACTGGTAAGAATAGACTAATTGATGCGATATTAAGATAGATTTTTTTCAGGGTCAATAGGAATATTAATATATATATGCAAATACATTACAAATTTCAGATTGTGTTTTCCTCATTGTATGAAGTAGTTTGTCCTTTTACTCGCGACTATGACAGTATACGTGCAAAGCTACAAACAATTGAGGAATGGGACAAGACGTGTATCGAAGGAGCATTACACGGTGTCAATAATGTAATTATGGCAGAATGGGGCAATGCTACTGCTTGCCAAGTGATACTAATTACAGATGGCAATCCTGGCATAGGGCTGATGTCCTTGGGCGATTCTTTAAATTCTTTAAACATCACGCGAGGTATAAACCCCTTTCCACTACCTTTCCCATATCCGGGAAAATTAAGTATAGTGTGCATTGGGTCACAGCAGGGTAAGTTAAAAACTGACATATATTTCTTTTTGCATATATATTTGAATATATTTCTCAGTTATATTTTACATCTACTTATTCTATATTTTCAGATCCTAGTTTACAAGCTGGTTTACCTCTCTATCAACGATTAGTTGATTTAGCTGGTGGTGATAGCATTGTTCTAGTTCCAGACTCACCACTTAATAAATATTCTGTCACTGCTTGTTTCCAGAAACTAGCTGAAGCAAATTATGTTTCCTTTCAAGGATATCTAAAGTGTGGCCATTTAGGCTCTCGTATTTTATTATCACCAGCTCCTATGGTAATAATAAGCATCATAAGAGAAAACACACTACAAATTATCGTGAATAATTATATAGACATTGTTTCTTATATATGTTTTAGCCTTATACGAAGAAAACAGATTTTGAATTAGTTCCAGATCTGATAATATCGAAAAATATAGAAATATGCGGATTTATATCTGTAGGGGATGTCGGTAGCCCAAGTTCCATTTCTAGACATTTGGTATTACCATTGGCAACAGAGAAAACTTCAAATATGCAGGGTATATCATTAGAAGAAGATTCAGATACCGATGAAAATGGAGACGAGGGAAAAATGCCGTCTTTTTGTGTATTACTTCATGGAGCATTGAAGGTAATGTCTCTAGAAGTTTAGCAATTATATTCTTGTTTTTTGTTGCAATTATGAACTAATAGAACTATATATTTTACAGGTAGAAAATATGGCCGCCCTCTGTTTATTGAACAATGAATGGTATGGATTTATATATTCTTGGGCAGATACTAAGAAGAAATCTAACTTAATGTTAACAGTATTAGAACCAGGATCTGATGTTGTGCCATGGTTAGGCAATTTCAGCAATTTAGGTCCATTAGATGCAGCTAAAAGTTCTCCAGTCAGTTTTCCGGTGAGACCAGCTGAAAAAAGAAGTTATACACAAAATGCCCCTTCATGGATTCGCCAAGTTGGTTTACAATCCGATATTCAGAAAATATTAAGACACGCGAGAAAATTACCAGAGAAGACACAAAACTTTTATAAGGTAAATTATACTATAAAAAAAAGCTATTCTGTAGGTTTAAATAATAATGATTTTGAAATAATTATTTTATATGATCGCACAGGAGGTAAACAGATTACGGCGCGCAGCAGCATCAATAGGCTTTATCGAGTTATTAGAAGGATTAGCCTGCATCTTAGAAAGAGAATGCACATTGCTACCGCCGAATCTGAATCCCGATTGTACAATCCAAATGGGACACGTTGCATCAATGATCAGAAAACCAGAATTCCTTGAACTCAGATACAATATTCCACCTGCACGGACAAAATTTCAAAGTGGATCATGAGTTGCAATATACAGCAATCAGTGTGTTATTGCATTTTTATTGCATTTGCTTCAAACATTAGGCATGTATACAGCAACAATAAAGTTTTTATTTATTTTAAACCATACCTTATACAATATATAATATATTATAATGTCACATTATTTATTTTCCCATTTATTTTCCAGTCAATTTTATCAGATATAGATCAACTGTGTCACACATATGTATGAAAATATATGTTATAAGTATATAGCTTTTAATAAAATTATAGTTTTGTTACATATATATATATATATAATTACTGGCAAAGAGGATACTTATTAGATTAAAATTACTATTAGCTATATTTTAAATTTCTTATTAAATAACATAAAATATCATACAAGCCTTTAGCAGTTTGTATACTAGAATACTTGTCAAAATCTGGAACGTGTACAAATAGAGTTTTTGTTGGTTCAATAACAAGAGATTGATAATATATATATTCACACAGATATCTGCCAGCATTGTGTGAGAAGCAAGCTTTACACTTATGTTTCTCATAATTTTTATTCACACTATCACAAAGTTCCTTGATATTTACGCCAGTTTCCAAGATATTACACTCAATACTTGCTTCATCAGGGCACTTGCTGTCTATGTCAAATCTATTATAGCCATTGCTGCAAGCATGACACTCTATTGTTAAAGATTCAGCTTGGCATGATACACCCACATGTAGGACAATCTAAAACATGAAATTCGATAGAAACGTACTGAGACAACTCATAAATATGAAAAATTATATATAATATACTGCTTACTGTAGGCTTGTATTTCTTCCAAAGCTGAGGGATCTGAGTGGATACGTAACTGTACAATACTGGAATTTCTTCTGTGATTAGTTTAATGTCAGGAAATTCTTTGGAGTCTATCCATAGTTTTTCCAATTCCTTCACCGCTTCCCAACTGGCGTTCACTATATATTTATCAAAAGGGCCAAAACCCGTTACTAAAATCGTGCACTCGGAATTGGCGCTCATTTCGTAAATTCAATTCAAATCCCGTGACAATGCCACTAATAACTCGACGAGATTCCACTTAATTGAGAGATATAAGTTAATTTTATCAGTTTATCAATGGTACGCGTTATCGCGAGATTGATATATGACTGTCTGTTGCATGAAGGCAAATACACGCGTGAATGATTTATTAATTTAAGAAAGATTAGAATAAGTAATCTCAGCGATTGTGGAATAATTGATTGCGCTCGATAATTATCGCAATCGCGCATAAGTAAATTTCGGAAAAATATAAAAGAACCGTGGGATATGCGTTAAACGATATCCAACGATTTATTCAAATCGTAACCTATAATAAAATATGTACAATCCCTTCCCTTTCTCATGAATATTTATTACAACGATTAAAATTCGGAAATGATCGAGAGAGGAAAAAATATTACGTTTTATGTGTGACCGAGTATATTTTATATTATAATCGTTGCGGCAAAAAAATAAAAATGCCACCAAAATGAATAGCAATTATATATTTTGACATTTCGAATTTGCCGCCATTGCGATACTTCGAGAATCGCAATATCTTCGATAAATTTCGAATCGCAGTCAGTTATGGAACGCGTCGTGATGGATCCGCAGATTCAAATCGTGCTCCACACATTTCTCACAATTATTGTGTTAAAACTGATTTCTTCGTTTGTGAGAAGTTATCAAAAGCGTCTTATAAAGTGTTTGAACTTAACGTGAGTGCTGTGTGCAATTACTATTACACGCCAATGTTGCTTTTACGATGTCGGCGATTTTTGCTCCAAGTGCCCAGAGAGAGAGGGTCGATCGTACAATCATCTCCGCATATTTCAAGTTATTCTCTCTGAAGAAAAATTGCCGGTATGTAATTAACAATTCAGTTATGTTTTCTTTATTATTTTACTATAAATAATATAATACATACCAATATACATGATACACACGAATATACTTACACACGCACGCACACTTTGCCTAGGATTGTGGATCTTTGATGGCATTTCATTAAGCTTGAGATCTTATTTTGCTTATATACCAGTTAAAAATTTTATTTATATATAGATACAGTAAATACAATAATCGAAACAGTGTGGACAAAAATATATCCATGTAACAATTTGAATATACATTTTTATAAATATAGAATATATAGAATAGCTGTATTTTTCTCTTCTGAAAGAATAAATTTCACGTATATATATTTGTGTAATTGTAATATATGTTAGAAAAAATATTCATATATATTTCTTTGCTTATAACTCTCGTGCATTATAGACTATTTTCATTATCTAATCACTATTTTTATTATCTATAAAATACATATTAAAATTATGACAAAAGACGTAGATTTTTATGTGAAAAATATTTTCAATATAAATTGAGATTCAAGACATATGCATTGGCACGATTCTGTTAAGCACTTATTTATCGTCATTGCTATTTCATATAAAGCATTTATAATGCATAGAAACATTCATAATGTAAAATATTTTATAGAAGAGATTACCGAACTAGATACCTATACCATATAACATGTATAAAGCAAAATTTCTTTATATAAATCTGTGTATAAAAATGAGTTAATATATTCTTCAAAATACATATAAACTATATTATTGTTAGATTAAATTGTTAAAAAACGAAAAAGGTAAAAGAAAAGATAATACATTGTATATATTTGTAAAACGATATGTCGGCGATAAAAAATGCAATAAAACAAGTTTCATTTATGAAACTTGTTCATATATGATGGAAAATGTTTTATGATATTAGTGCCAATAAGCATTTTTTGTAATGTCCTGAACAGTCACCCTGAAAGAACAATAGAAAGAAAGGAATTAGATCTCAAATATACATGTATTGATATATAATACTGCAATATTTTAATGTAACTCACAGATATAAAATCTTCCAGTGATTCTCCATATTCTTGGAGAAACACATTCTTTATTTCACCAATATCCACTTCACAGCGTGTTACAATCAGACGGATAAGACGGCTATCGTCTGTACCAAGACCCTTCATGCTCTTGTACAATTGTTCCGCAAAGAAACTAGCTCTATTTTTGACGCATTTCACTGTTTAAATAATATTTATTTTATATAATTAGTCTGGAAAATATTATTCTCTTCTATATATATATTCATAATTTGTAGTATATATACTAACCAATCGCAAGAAGACCCTTTTTAATATCACCAGAAAATTCGTTTTCAATTGCATTTTCGATATCATGACCTGTTATGTTTTGATACTCTATAAATATCTGTCGCAGTTGTGAAAAATTTCTTTGGACGAGAATTGCGTTAAAAGTAGACTCATCTGTACCAAAACGCAGCTCCCCTGTAATATTAATATTATATTATTTATTTATACGATATTAAAATAAGAAAATGAAATATTAGCGGATATACTTAAATATCCTGTACTAATTACCAGCTTGTAAAAGTTGTTTAGCATCTTCCATTGCAGCAGCCTGATTCACATTAAATGAATCATCTCTATTGGCACAGCACAATGATACCATCAAGCGTTTGAAATTTCCGGATGTATCAGAAATCAAATCATCCTCCAATGTTCTTCCATACACTATAATTATTAAATAATCCAGTAGATAAACACATACAAACTAATATTACTTTGTAATTTTGATATTTTTCAGTCAACTCACTTGTTTCATATGCTTGTTTAATGATGGAAATTTCATGATTAGACATAGTACACAATACTTCAATGAGTACTGTCTCATCAGTACCAATACCAGACATTGCGTCATGAAGTTCTTTTGCATAATATTGAGGTAGTGGCATCATTAGAGCAAGAACAAGTTTCTCAAAGTTTCCTGATAGCTCAGATTTTAAATCCTTTATCAGATCCTATTAATAAAAACGTAACAGTAGTATTATATAGTATTATGTTCCAATTTTTCAGAACAAATTTTTCAATTCTCAATCTTTACCTTCCCATAAAGAGTTTTAAATTGGGATACAATTTCCTGGCGTTGCAGGTTACTGCGATTGACAAGAATTTGGATAATAGTTTTCTCATCTGTACCGAAACCCTTCATAGCTTTTCTCAAAGCTTCCGCATCGGCTCTAGCATCGAAGCCATCATAAGGTACAACAGTAGGAGAAGTCTGTAACAAAAATTATGAAAAAAATTTACTATTACCAAAATTGAGCATGATTTGCAGAATTCAAGCACTTTTTTTAGCATTAATAATATCTGGACAAAAAATGTTTAATATCACACTTGTAACTTTTTCAAAAATTCCAAACAATTTTTAAAATCACCTTAGGCGTAAATCGCTCTCTCCGGGGGGCTGGGGTGGCACTATATGGAGCAGCAGTAGGTGGATTAGCAGCATAAGAATATGTTGAGCCTATCCCCTGCCCCCTGGGATAATTTCCGCCTTGGTATGGGATTGAATTAGTTGCAGGTGTATTAGGTTCAGAAGCATAAGAGGAAAGAGGAGTATTACTAAAACATTCTCTAGCATTTGGTGCTTTTTGAAGATTAGGATACATATTGTAATTTTGCTGCTGTGGATAAGGAGATGGTGCAGGCTGGTTAGAATTTGCATTAAATGAATAACACTGCATGGGCATAGATTGAGAAGGATATGGCATTTGTTGTGGAGGATAAGCATTGGTTTGCGTTGATATGTTGTCAGGTATAGGATGCATGGGCTGAGTCGGGTAAGGACTTGCTGCTTGAGAATATGGTTGAGGCATGCCAAAAGATGTTGGCGGTGCGTTTGAGAAACCCATTGGAGCATAAGACGAAGAACTGGGGGCAGAGGGTGCACCAGGCGGAACCCCAAATGATGTTGGTGGTTGGGCTCGTCCTGGCAACTGTACAGGTGGCCCCTTGGATATATTAAGGTATAGATAAAAAAACTAATATACCAATCTTATACACAAGCTTCATATCTATCTACTTTCTTTAATTAAAAAGTTTATTTCTTTTAATATTATATTATATTCATATTTTTAAACAACAGTACAAAGCTGGTTATAATTTTGTATAACACAATATCAAATTAAAACGTTTCTTTTTTTTTAACATGGAATTAATACAATTTAGAAAAAAACTTTTTAATTTTATTAATAAGTTAAACATACTCACTTGGTAACCGTAACTCATTTTTTCTGTTTAAGAATTGAACTGCTTTGATGGAAGAATCTGTACACAAAAGAACACAAAATTATTTCCTTCATCTACGCTGCATCATCTACTACAGAACCTGTTGTATGGCAATTTGTTAACATCACTAATAACAGCATGACATATGCATTTTACCAACAGACTGATGCATATAAATATATAGAAAGCACTCTATAAGAATGGAACAATGGAATTATCATGATATATTAAAGTATATTGCAATTACTATTTATTTATGAGTTGCCACGTATCATCTGTCGTATATGTCACGAGTTGGAAGACGCACCTCAAGGAGAAAACCGAAATAGATAACCGGTTACGCCCAACACACGGAAAGATATATTGTATACTCTCGTTACAAAAGACACTAACAAAATAAGGATAAATGATATGTCACACTGAATTTTATTATTCATCATCGGTGCTCCATGCTTACCTGAAGTTTTCCACCGAATTCCGTTATTACGTGATTACAAAAGCTTCTGTGTTGTATAACGTGTGATGTCGAAAAAACGTCAAACTGAGACGTGCCGCAAGCCGATTCGACTGACGACTGACGATTGACGATTTGTAATTTGTAGCGAAGCTGGACTAGTAGTAATGAGATAATAGGAATGGCAAGGACACGGCTACGTATTGGTGGGAAGGAGATAGAAACAACTTCTCTCTCAGCCTCCGCGCCGACTCACGACGTCACCAAGAATCCCGCCGGGAAAACCGAATACTATGCCAGGTGAATGGAGGGAGACCAATGCCGAATTATATGGTGATTTAAATATTCTAAAGGTGAGTGCAAATATATAACACGATGAAAAATCATAGTATACGTAGAGAGTTTCCCTCCGATGACGGATCCCTTATTTTTATATACACAGTAATCGTGATGCCAAATATATATTGGCACCTCCATGCAAATAATCGTTAGAAAGAGAAATTAAAGATGACATACCCGTAAACAAAATTCGCGTAGTCGATATCTCGTCATCCGTTTTTCCGAAAATTATTAGCGCTGATTTTTAAAGTCGAACAATATACATTTAAAGACAGCTCTACGTTTTAATCTTTAATTATAAAAACGTTGTTCCTGTTTTGCATATCATGCTGTCGACACGTGACTGGTATATATATATATATATATATATATATATATATAATGACTTCAACAAACTACTAATAATATTAATGGCTAGAAAAATAAGCAAACAAACTACAGAGTTTTCGCAACATATGTATAATGTATATATGTATGGATATACATATATAGAGCAATGATAATCGCGAAAGCATATTTTCCGGTCATAAAATTTCAAAAATAAAAAATTGTTGTATTTGTTAAAAGATTTAAATAAAAACAAGTTCGTAATTTAATTATAAAATCATATTAATTCATAAAATCATTTAATTATAAAATCATATTATATAATTCTGTGTCATAAATATATTATATTTCTCAATATTTTAACTAAAAAAAGTTAAGATGTTAATATTGAAAAATTAATATCGAAATTAATGAGAATAGATATCGCGAAATATCAGTATCAGTTTATACGAAAGAAAGTTAATAAATTATAAGGACGAGGAAATCATTGCGTGATTTTATTGGGTTTTCGAGAAAAAAAATTAAGGCGCGAGCAATCTTCAAAATAATTTATTAAAAATGTCGCATATTCGATATACCTCGAGTCGGTAATCGGTAATGGTACAATTAGTAACTATATGCATGTCGCGTGAGCATGTTTTCAGAGGATCAATTAAGATTTATGTCTGATAGGTGATCGATCATTATTGTTCTTATTTTACTGTGGAATAATTAACGGTATATAATTCATCAGTCATTGAAGCGTCACGTGACACGAAATCGCGCGACGACGCTTCGCTGATCTAAACACGGTCTCGCACACGTCATTTGTTGTGAAATGCAAATGCGTTTTCGTCAGCAAATCGTCTAATGCAAGAGTTAGATTTTAATGACGTCATATGACGTATTCACTTCCGAGAGATACGGCCACTTTGTCCGTGAATAAATCATGACACACCCATGATTCATGCGCGGGTCGCTGCCTTGTGTGTCGTTTTATTACGCAACGAACTTGACACTTGCATTCTGACGCAAGTAAATTACTTGTCCGCGAAGAATGAAAGAACCAATTTCAGTAAATGGAAAACTCATCTTAAGAAATTATATCTCGGAAAATTAATTTTTTTTTTATTGTTTTAACCCAACCTTTCAAAAAGAGAATTTTCTTTTTTTACTAGTTCTGGAATTAAAACTATAAAATTATTAGAATTATTAAAAAATTATCTATTTTTTCATTCTATAAATTAACTCTATCGTTCATATTTTATTTTAATTAACAAATTAACGATGTTCAATCTTAATATCAGTTTCTTGATTACGATTTTACTGTTAAAGTTACATTGTTATATTTAAAGCATCGACATTTGTTCACTGCAATTCGTGTCACACTGTCTTCAAATAGAGCGGTTACGAATAAATATGACATGTGCGTTTATGCATGTCGTGGTAAGATCGCGTGCATGCGTGCGTGCGTGCGTGCGTGTATCTTGATGTTATTGTCAGAGTTCTTGCTGACTTGCGCTCATCATAATAGTGACAATATGCAATCGCTTTTACGAAGTGGGTTAATCACATAAGATTTTTATAGTTAGCTTAAAAATTAGTCTTATTTTCCGCAGAATTTCCATTTAAACGTATTCAAAGTGGCTAGTAAAAAAGCTCGAAAGATATGTGTGCGCATGTACCATTCGAATTTATAAGATATATCAACATATTATTACATATTATATTAACATATACAATATATACCAAAACATGCATGATTTTTTAAATGTTATCGTCCAATCGATCATGCCTATCGCGAGAAAGCTTCGCCTCTTTGTATGAAAAATCAGGATTATCGAGATCCGAATCGATGCATGCGATTTTGAGCCGATTAAAATTTCGCGTTTTATGTCATTTTCTCGGGTCGAGTGTGCAAAGAAGCGAATTTCGAAATACGATCATCGGATTTACAGTCAATCGAAAGCGATGCAATCGATGGCGAATGCAGGACAGATTTGATCTCGCGAGCAATCTCGCTTTGAAGCACGATCGAATCGCGTTTTCTGAAAAGAACTGCGAAATGCTTTCGCTCGGATAAGCAGTGACAATGTCGCTGCAAAATACGAAGATAGATTATTCGCGTTATTTGTGCACGTTATGAAACATGAACGACCAATGTTGACGATCGAAAAGAAGATGCTTTCCGCGACGGTATGGAATGATGATATGAAAATATAAAATAGATAATATGAAAATTGAATTCGTAAAACAGTGACTCACAATTTACGTCGTTCATGTTTGTAGCGCGATACAACATAATACGCTCTCGCAAGATACATAAAGATATCTTCGAGAACGATGTTATTTAAAAACAGAATCCATCAATTCTTCGCGATTGAAACGCGCTGATTTTCGCAATCTTTTCAATTACATCTGAATTTTCTCCTGTTTACTTTCTCATCCGTAAATCAACAGAAATGTTCAATAAACTGTTTCGCTATTCATCATTCGTTAATGGAGCACGTATATTTTTATAAAACAAGAGATATCATATAAAGAATCGTGATTGAAACGGAGCGCTTATCTCGATACACAAAAGCGGTTCTGATATCGTCTTGTTAATAACAATTAACACAAACTTATATTTTTCATAGAAGAATAATGGTAAAACGAGACGATTGTTTAACATTTATTACGCGAATTATATCGCGAAGTATCAAGACTCCTGAAATGATAAGCGTCGTATCTTCGGTAGCATAGAATTCTATGTATGTAGTATGTATGTACATGCTACACATGCAATCACGCGAGTTTTTCGTCTCGTTACAACCTTTATTTGCATAATAATCGCGTAAGTCGTAGGTAATACATAAAGCAATGCACCTCGTAACAAACACGCGACTATCATGTGTTGTTCTATATATGTTTAGCATAACAAAGTGCACCAGCTCTCTTTGGTTGATATCGGTTTATTCTTATCTCGTGCTGATAGTACACTTTTCCTTCGCTTATCTAACTTGAAACTGACTCTTTCAGAACTTTAACGATCAAAAAGGGATATAAAAGTTTTTTTCTATTAGCCGAAGCTGTGACTATGAGAGAGCCTGTTTTCTTATTTTGTTATAATAGCGAATGAATAATCAATCAGTTTTTTTTTTAGATGTTAGACAGGTGATGATAGAAAAGTGAAGGACAAGTGACTATAACGACAGTCAAAAATTTACAATATTTTTCAACATACAGATGTTTTACGATTTTAAAATACATTACAGATGTTTTATGATTTTAAAATCTTTTTTTTAATAATACGCAAAATTGTATTCATTCTGTCATTCTGGTAGGCGAAACAACATCTTATGTCTCTCTTTTTCTCTCTGTAAATTTTGTCATATATTCTGTGTGTCATGACACATCGCTAAATATCATAATATTTGATGATCACAGGTAAATGAAAATAGAGCGCGAAAATCTCGAAAGTGAGCGAGTTTCGTCGCTGTTAGTCGTGCGGTAAATTTAATTTGACAGTTGACAGTTTGATCAATAGCTTGATCGTTTGCATCTCTCGTAATTGTAGCCGCGGATATGATTTTACATTTTTAATAGTAACGCCTAAAAATCGTCTCTACACGTAATTACTTTATTGGCTTACATCGTGATCTAGAATCGTACGATTATGTTTATTTACAATCGAAACACGAGCCGAGAGAATTGGCCAATAGAGACGAAAGTTTGTTTTTCATATATATTGACCACGCCGATCAGTTATATAACGATCGATATTTATGCAAGCAACATGACGGTATCTCTC